TGGGTCGCTTAAGCACTCTTACGTACGATATCTTAATTTGTTTTGATAATCTGGAGGTAAAGAACAATACATGCTCTGGCTTATACAATGGTGTCTAAGGACCGGATCTGGGATTTAGTAGTAGCAGATACTCTTAACATCTCCGACCAAGTCTTCTGGTAGCATGCAGATGACACCATTATTCCGAGGTTAGGAGTGGAATGTTCTTAGATCTCCTTGATGGCAGGGTAAGATCGAGCACATCGTCACCAGGATGAACGTTGTTTCTTTTGGCAATGCATTCTGCTGCGTATTATACAGCCGCATTCCACAACTTCCAGTTGTAACTTTGCCTGGACATTGCGTTTTGAGAAAGTCAGTCTGTCAAGCGTAAATCTTACCAGACGAGGAAAAAATCATTGATTGCACACGCGTCTGCTGACCCTCCATATTCGGCACTGACAGATGGTCATTTCAAGGTTTCTAGTCTTTCGTCCCCGCACTTCTAGGGTAGTTTATGTCTACGAACACCCGCTACTGATGATTTTCCGACTTACCGGGCTCTGCTGGTCAAGCATCTCTAGTAGCTGCAACTCTTATGTAGACTTTGCTATCGGATTAACCCGACATGCATGTCCCATGACCAGCGGCAAAACGGCAGGGTTAATATGCGTTTTAGCAACCATATGCTACTTACAAGTCCCATCGACGGTCACATTCCTTGGCGGAATGGTTTACACATTATTTGGAAGGAGGGGTTGCGCGGGGTATCAAGCCAACGAGGCCCCCTAGAGACCAGGCAATCCAAACTCAATCATTCATCTAGTTTGTTTGGCAAATAATCTCTCCAGCCAGGTATTGTGAAGAACCACGCGGCATACGTCGCCCGCCATGAGGTCAATTGTTTAGCGGAAACTTACTCAGTTACTTCCGGTGACGGAGGCTCTGGGATCACTCTGAGGCTGCAACCCTACAGTTGAGAAGCTTTAACCACGTCGATATGATCTGCAGAGGTTCCATCCTAGCAAAGATGTCACCTCAACATTACATGGACGTCGTTGACGAACGACATAAGATTCATTAGAACAGCAAGGTTCTTAGGTAAGATCTAAGGCGGGTGAGCCGGATATGACTGTCCTTCAGAATGTGTAATCCCTCCTCCCTTTGGCATTGTCTTTACATATTGTAACATTTGCGCTATATCCAAACAAAATCGAAAAGCCGATAGCTGATCTTGCTGGATATTGCTTGACAGGGGTTGAATGGTCGCTAACGTTCCTCGAGCTCAGATTGAAATATTCAAGGAGATTCATAGTAACCGCTGTAGACTTGTTGCTCTTACAGGCTAGGCTTAATAAATAATACCAATCGCGATGTGTTCCCAAAATGATGTCTCGAGCATGTCACTATATGTGATTGTTCGCCAAGTCACTATCCTGATTCGGTGGGTTTCCCACTAACCATCATCATTTGACTTAGAGTTGGCATTTCTGACTTCGTTCTACACTCCGGTGCCAGGTAAGCTTGTTGATAGTATGCATTGCATGCATAGAGGAAGTGGGGGTTAGCTATGTAACTTACATATAACGCTTGCGTATGCTCGAAGCTTGCTTTAAGCCAGTGACCAGGTTTGTTCCTGGATGCCCCTTACACTAACCTACATCCAGACCGAGGATAGTCAAGTTCTCCGCCACGTATTTCATAATCCTCGATCCCAATTTGCAGCTGTCGTTATCGTAATATGGCCATTCGGACATCGAAGTCGGTCCTCTAGGTTTCCTAAAATCAAGCTTCGCTTCGACATCCTCAAATATTGACTCGCCGATTACACTAGCGCCTCTAAGCAAGTTTTCGTATTCCGAAAAGGCCGTCGACAAAGGATCAGGGTAGTAATGAGAAGCTATGTCTAAGCACAAGTTAGCTCCGCATCCTCTGATTAAATTCTTAATGAGCAGGGTCGGGACGGCAATTATCTTACCGAAGTTCATGGGTGGAAGTTATAAAAAGAGAGGTAGCGCATTCCTGAATCAACATGTTGCTATCATTTGAAAAGCCGAGTTGACTAGACTCTGGTTAGGCGATAACTGTGCCAACACCCACTTCTTTCCAATACCTGACCATATCTTTACGCCTTACCCTTCTTCACTTTCTTCACTTTCTTCACTTTCTGCCTTGTATTATTCCTCATATAACTGAGCAGAAATCTGAACTCTCAACATGCAATTTCTGCATATTATCGCCCTGGCAGCCGCCATGGCTAGAATCTCCGCGCTACCCGTTGCGGTGCTACCACAGCTTGTCCATCCTCCAGTGTATACTTTCAAGGACGAGAGTACTGCCGGAGCTGCCAATTTGGTCATTGTGAAAGCTAGAGATGACGCTGCTCTCGACACCGCTTACGAGGAATCCGACATCAAGACCAGGGATGAGACCGCCCTGGACATCATTGATAAGGAACCTAACGTCAACACCAGAAGCGAGGCTGCTGTTGAAGCTGTCAACCCAGATTCTCACAACATCGAGACGAGAGGATATCGCGGTGGCAACGATCGCGACCGTCAAGACTATTACTATGACAGCTCAAGAAAATCCCGGGGAGAACACAACACGCCCGCTGATGACTGGAAGTACCAAGACAACCTCGCGAAGCTTAGAGCTGGCAACTGTGGAACAGGATGCATCAATTCCATCAAGTCATATGACTCGGTGGCATCTCGAGATTCAAAGTTAGCCAGGGCGCGTACAGACCAGGATTATTACAATTATGACCGCTATACCAACGCCAAATATGACTACCGCGGTTATGACACTTATAATTATCCTGTCGCCGGCTCACGAGCGTCTCGAGGAGAACACAACACGCCTGCTGATGACTGGAAATACCAAGATAACCTTGCGAAGCTTAGAGCTGGCAACTGCGGGACGGGATGTATCAACTCTATCAAATCATATGATTCGGTAGCCCACAAAGATTTCGTGGCCTACAAGAAGGGGTATTACCCACCGTACTGAGTAGGACTTCAACACAAGTGGGAGTTTTACAAAAGTTTATTGGTTTACAAGCTTGGAGATACTTGATTCTCTTGCTCAGAAACTCAGGAAACATGTACCTAGATTTTACGCGATGTTGATGATGTAAAGAAAACAGATGAACGATTTTCAAACGAGGCTCAAGAAGTCTTCCCCCAGTTGGACCTCTTCACAACTTTGCTTTTTGGCGCAAAAACAGAGCGTCAACACCTGGGTATTTCTTTTGACAATAAGAATAGAACTGCAAGACGCAAAACGAGTCTCCAAGTCGATCCAGCCTCATCATCCACCACTCAATATACCCGCTTGGAGTGCCAATATTTGAAAGTGATGCAAGCGGTCGGATTGCCTGCAGCCAACGAAAACTGCGAAATGTGGAATTTATTGTCATAGAACTGACTTGTCAGATAGCTCACCCATAGCCAAAAGTTTTGGTATGATCAAGACAGTTCGGAGAAAGAGGGGAGGTAAGCAGACCACAACAGCTATCCAAAGTTTAAGTAATAACATCTGGTTTGAGTAAGTGGACAATTCAGTCCCGCATCAGGATCACAACTGATCACGGTTAAATTTCGCATACACAATAGGTCCAATGCATGCTGATGACTGAAATAATAGGCTAGCGCCAATGGGAAAGAGGCAGCCCACGCGTCACAGCCCGCACTGGCCCCAGCCACCACAATGGCGCCCGCCGCGATCAAAATACGCGGGAATGAGCCATTCCTCTCGCTTGTGTCCTTCAGCATATGTGCGCGCCTAACCCACTTGCCTGCAATACACTTAATACCGATTCTTGTTTCAACTTGATGTATCTTTGCGTAAAAGATATCAAAAAGTCTTTCTAGCCTAGCGTTACGCAATGGTGCAGAGCTTCTTTGACTGCTCAGTGTGCGGAAGGCCAAGTGCTCGCGCAGTTGAAGCGGGTTGCGACCTTTGCAGCAGTTACTTCTGTGGTGTTCACATGTCGCGGGAATTTCATAAATGCGATAACGGGGTAAGAGGCACCCAAACATATGCCAGCATAGTACAATGTTTGCTAACAGCGGCTCTGAATAAGGACCTAGATGATGCAGCCTATGAATCGCTCATCATCGCTGAAATTGATCGCCTTCGTGCTCAGATCAACGAGGAAGCAGTCTGCAAACTCGCTTCCAGCCTCAACAATGGCAAGCCTTGCGCGATCGAGTACCCTTCAGAGGTTGTTGGGTCCAGCGCTCTTTCAGGGCGTGCCAATTACCATGCCCGCATCAAGTTCGATAACGAGTCCCCGTCCTGGCTCATGCGAGTGCCGCGAGTTTCGGGCTTTGCCGTTGGGTTCCCCGTTGCACTTGCAGAATACCTGATCCGGAGCGAGTATGCAACCCTGAAGTTTCTAGAGACTACCGCAGTACCTGCGCCGCGGGCCTTCTCATTTGGCATACCGTCTCAAGGTACCGATCATGGTATTGGGGTCTGTTTTCTTTTCATGGAAGAGCTGCCAGGAAAGCCGTGGAATGGCCAGGGAGACACCGCTAAGGTCTGGCAGAGTCTCGTTGATATCTTTGCAGAGTTAGAGAAGCATTCATTTGACCAAGTGGGGTCCCTAGTTGTCGAGTCTCCTGACGACCAACCGTGGGTCTCTGCTATAGCTAGCGACAGATTCGTCTGTCTTTACCCTTACGGACCATTTGAGACTCCAGCAGCATACTATACAGCCTGGGCCGAGCAATACCTTGTACTAATCGCAGACGGCCAGCTTTATCCCCAGTTTCCTATTCAAGCCTACTTGGTGTATCGCTTCCTCCAAGACAATGTAACACAATTGGCTGGGTCTGAGGATAAATTCTTCTTGAAACACGTCGACGATAAGGGTGATCACCTGATGGTCGACGAAGACTTGAATATTACCGGCATCATCGACTGGCAGATGGCCCGTATCGTTCCGCGACGAGAGGCTTTTGCGCTGTCTCTTATATCTGCCGACATGAGAGCTCTTTACAATGGTGATGTCTTACTAAGTACGAAAGACATCGCATTGAGAAAAGCTATGCAGGAGAAAGGAGATGGGTTAGCAAGCTATGTGGGAGATGATGATAAGGTAAGAAGATTCTTTTGGGGATTAGGGCTTGAGTCAAAATGGGACTTCGCCTCACCATTGGCAAATGCTATCCTCCGAGTCTTCGGGGTTGAACAAGTTTGGAATGAATGGGAGGCAACAGCATTGAAGCAGTACGAGAGTGATGGACGCCTAAAAGGTCTCATAGAAGAGTCTTCTGGTGATGAAAATCGATAGTTAGCAGAAGCTCAGAGAAGTCACAAAACCACATAATAATTATCAGTTACGTCCTTAGTTAGGTCAACCCTATATCCCGTTCATAATCCGAATCATTTCGTTTTAGCATGCTTTTTCCATGAAGATACTGTCGCAAACCAACATGAGGCTACTGGTCACTATTTTGCCACAATCATCGACCTTCCGAAACAACCTCGTTCTAGACGGCCGGTTCTTCTCTACAAAGCTGGTCGCCCCACATGGAGCCAGCGTGTATCAGTCGATCCGTGTTAGGTATTTACCTTGGATAGAACAAGCCATTTTCTACGTTCAAGTCTTTCCACTGGCGACCCTTGTAATAGATGCCAATTGTAACTCTATCAACTCTTTTTCACTTACATGAGTGCTAATCTCGCGTATTCGGCTGGCGAAATCCGTCCCCGATATGTGTCCGACATTTACTCGGACTGCCGTACATTCGTCTAAGTTAAGCTGCCGCCTTGCCCACTTTAACATAAGCCAGGCAGAACATACGGTCTAACATCGTTTCTTTTGGTGTACTAATTGTATACGTGATGCTTGATACGTCAAGATTTTGCGCAAGTGATGAAGAGTTAAATAGCGATGACGTTTGCTAGCATGTGCTTTAGAGGCATATCTTATAGGTTGGACTACCTCACCCCGCACTTTCAGTCAGCCAGAAACTAGGTCTTACGACCCAAGAAAGCGGTGGTTAAAATAGCCATCTGGAACAAACATGCTGCGAGACCACGGGGATAATCAAGTTCAGCTACGCATAATTATAACCATCATGGAAAAGGGTCAGAACGGAAGAACTAGGGCGAGAATACTCCACCTCCAGCTCCTGCTATACTGCCGCCAGCTACAAAGATCTAATCCTAACCAATCTTTCTATAGAAAGGTCACGTGCTTGTAAGGTAAGCGCTCAGGGCCAGTGTTGTTGCTCGCATTGAGGCAAGGCTGGCAAGGTACAGTGTTGAACGGTATTGGTCCTTGTATAGCTATTTAAGGTCGCAAGAGTGTCGAGGCACTATAATCAAATTCTCATTTCATTTGGGACACCAATGAGGACCTCCGATGGAATGAAATGTGATACATTTCATTCTTCATTTCGAGCGTAGACTGGAATATAACCGGGTACCGATCAAAGGGGTTGACAGAGTTGGCCTTGTTTACCCAGGAATAATTAGCAGCTTGAGGTCTAGATGAACATTAGACTCAGCTTTTTCATATGCTATAACAACGAAACATGGCCTTGAACACTTGGCGTTGATGCACGGACTTAACTTGTAATCAGTAACTGAGTATCGGAAAGCAGGTTCCTTAACATAAGCAAACACAGCGAGTCGTTGGCAGTAAACTTGTCTTGGTTATGTGCACATACAGCCTTTTGTGACCCAGTTTAAAGCCATATTGACTCGACCTTTTTTAAGTCACTCTCCACTGTTTCTAGTTATGCTTCTTGAAACGGCATCGACTCTCAGTGGACTTCTGTGAACCCCCACAAGTGTCGACGCCAGTACTATCACTGAAAAGCGCTTAATGTGCAATCCCCTACATTGAGTAAGTATGGTCACGCAGATAACAACCGGGGAGTCATATGGCTGGGCAGACTCGGAATGAAATCGATCTGCTTGAAATACAAGAAGAGTGTTTTCTGACAACAAAAGAGGGCACTCGTGCGACCAATACAAAGTCATCGGGCTATATTTCCTTCCTGCACCCAATAACGATTGAAATCATTCTAGCAAGACGCATTCTTCATACTACGCCGCAGGTGAAAGAGGCTCGAAACTCCGCAGCATCTCGATACAACCTCGGAATGATGGGCCGGGACTTTTGGCGCTATATTGGAGAGCAAAGCTGGGAGCAAAAGAGGAGGTTTCCCCAGATCGACAGGTTTCCCCGCAAGTGTCCGAAGCGGATATCGGCCAGCTGGGAGGACGTTCCGTAGGCCAAGTCGGTTTCGGGTGAGACAGGACCATAAATAACAAGGACATCCCCTTCGACCACCATCTTGGACATTGACACTGATACGCTGGCTCAGACGAGATCAACGTTCCCATGGCCGTATACAGAGAGGGCCATGGGTTATTTCGAGGGTAGCAGTACCTGAGCCTCCCGAGACGATGTCGACGAATCCTTCACAGATCGTTCAGCCGACGCTGCACGCGAATTACCGAGCTGGATCACCAATATGGACCTGCACAAGTCGTACCAGAGCACACACACGGACGTGGCCGGGACTCAAGAAAGAAAAAAGAGACCCGACGTTGGAAGAAAAGGATACTCGGTCGGGTTCCTTAACAGAAAGGGAGGAAGGATCATGGGAAAATGAGAGTCAACACGAGAGCCAGCAAAAATTTCAAAAGCACATGACGAGAGCCCGGTCACGAAGCAACGTGACAGAAAAACAATTTTACGAAAAAGAAGGTGAAAAAAAGGAGCGGTAAGTCCCAATACGGTCGAGGAGTGACCAGCATGACCGAAGACCGGGAATGCGTCCCCCACTGCCTCCAGACCTTTTTTTGGAGTCTTTTCCAACCCCACCAGAACCCAGCTATCGGATCTAATTGACGAGTCCCCATTGGAGCGGGTAAAGTGCTGGATAAATAGGCCAGGGCCGCTAGAGTCGGCTCAGTACCGTTGCGCACCTATGACACTTTGGACGCTTGTTTCACTGCGAGAGGTTCCAACATTTGCTTGAAAG